CCCCTCAACGTTCTGGAGTTTCCAAGGGATGTGCCCTTATCCAATGTGCCCATGGTCCTCAGCTGACATCACTCGAGAACTGAGACTTGGACGCCTGAGCAGCTCAGTTGTTAAGCATCTGACTTCAGCTCAGGTCATGATCTCATGGTTCGTGAGTTCGAGTCCCACATCAGGTGAGTTTAAGCCTCATTTCCGGTGAGCATGAGCCCCGCTTTGGGCGAGCCCCATTTCTCTCTCTCTCCCTCTCTCTCACTCTTTCTTTCTGCCCCTCATGGGATTCTCTCTATCTCTTCCTCTCTCTCTACCCCTTGCTCTCTTGCGCCTTCTCTCTCTTTCTCTCTCTCTCAATGAAAGAAAGAAAGAAAGAAAGAAAGAAAGAAAGAAAGAAGAACTGAGTCTTCACAGCTGCCCTTCACCCTCCACACTTGCCTGTGCATCCCAGCCCGGGCACTCGGGCACTGGGCGCTTGGGTACTGGGCACTTGAGCACCAGGCACTTGATGGTGGCAGCTGAGCTGTGTTTTATTGATCACTGGATTCAAAATCCATCCTTTGCCTGAAAGGGATCTCTGGTGCAAAGTCTTGGGAGCAGGTGATCTCCATGAGAAACCAAGTTGTGATCAGCAATTCACCGGAGCGCTCAGTGAGCACGTTCGCGTGTGTAACTCGGGAGTTTGAGCTGCTCAGTGTTCTTGCGGTCTTCCCAGCTGCATTTTTAAGGACTTGGGCTGTTGCAGCCTTTGGCTACGGCTACAAACTGAAGGGTGGGGAGAAACGGGAGACTGGGAGAATATAACAAGTATATCATTTTGAAGAAAGGTTTTTTTCTGAATATATTATTCATTAATATATTTATTCATAGGAAGAATATATTTAAAAGGATTCTGAATATTCAAGAATCTATTAACAAATATATTTTTCATGAATATATTTATAAGGAGAATAAGAGGAACTCATGAAGAATGTATTTTTGAATATTAAGGATATATTCATAGGAACACTTCATATTCAAGAATATATTTTTCAGCTCTGGGAGTTGCAGAGACAAATGGAATATTCTTTAAAATGATATGAAACAAAATGTAATGCAGTGAAAACTCAGTATTTCAAAAGGAATGTGCAAATGTGGCAAGTCGGTCATTTGCTGGGTGGTTAAGAAACGTTTCTGGATCAGGAGTCAGACTTCAGGATTCAAGCCCAGATCTCACTCCAGAGCCCAAGTATTTCCCCCTATATTTCCCTGCCTCCAATGGCACTCAACAGGAGATCCACAAAGATAACTCGATCAGGAAATCCCAGGGATGTTCAAAAGTCGGCACGCAGCAAGGGTCAGAGGTCACAACTCAGAGCCCTGGGTTAACAGGAGTCAGTCTTCCATGCTGTCACTCTTGGAATCTGTTTAGGACTGGGGTTATCCAAGGTCAGGATCTAATCACAGTCTGGGAGAAAAGAGGTGTTCGGAGCTGATTAAGGAGATATTTTTCTTGGGGGGAATGTGGGTTGTTGGAAGTTAACAGAAATTTATTTTGGTGAAAAAGTAGCCAAAATGAAAAGTATTCAAAGACTGTGGTCTCAGAAGTCCTAAGCTCCCTCAGCATACTTGCTAATGATCTAATTTCCAGCCCCACGATGTGTACTTATGGTGTGTTATACAAATGGTCCTTTAGGGGGACTCTTTCTAATAACCTAGAAGTTTGTATTTCTTGAAGCCCTATTGGCAATATTTTGCTTTGTCTTCGGCTCACTCGTATTGAAGGTGGGAATCAGAAAAGAGGAGAGTAAGAGGCTAAGAGTGGCATCTGGGGGCAGTGGAGGCTTTCAAACCATCTGGGGCATTTCTGGATGCTTCCTGACTCCTGCGGGTGGTGGGATCCTCCTGGCGGAAAGATTTCAACTCTAAGGTTTCCAGCCCGTCTGGAGAGCATGGGAAGGAATTGATTGGAGTCAAAGCTGGACATGGTAGGGCTGAGTCAGGGCAATCGAGGTCGCCCTGTGATCATCCTGGGGTCTGCCCCACATGCTTCTGGGCCCCCTCACACATACACACACCGTGAGCCTCTCGGGGTCCTCAGGAATGACGCAAACTTCAGGAGTTTGTGTGTGGGGATTCCTGGAAGAATGCTCGAGAATCAGATTGCTGTTGCTACCGTTTTCCTGACCCTTACTTAATGGCTACTGTCCGGTGTCAGGCACCTTAGGTGTGCTATGTCTGCTACATTCACACACACACACATCCACAAAATCAAATTAAAAAAATAAATCCCTCAAGGTAGGCATTAGTTTCTTTTTATAGACAAATTACGCCTACTTGGGACGTTACGGAGGTGGGATTTTGAAGTTGAATTTGATGGACTCTCCTCATTCCCTGGGGCAACAAATCACTTACTGTGGGCCGGTGAAGTGCCAGGGACTACATCAAGTGCTAGGAATCGTGATGAACAAGGCTGCCGCAGTCTCTGCCCTCACAGACCGTCTAGATTAGTGGGGAGAAACACGCAAGTGGTAACGACAGCCAGCGAGGAGCGACATGATGGGGAGGTGCGCTGCAGTGGGGTCTTCCCAGGCGGGAGAGAGGCGGAGAGAACATCTCAGGCAGAGGGAGCAGCATAGGCAAAGCTGAGAGGCCCAGTAGGAGGGTGAGTTTGGAGAGGGAAAGGAGTTCAGGGTAGGTGCAGCCCGGGACGGCAGCGGGAGGGAAGCGCTGTGCCCGGGGAAGGTGGGGCGAGGTGTGAAAGCCGGCAGCGTGCGGGACCAGCATGGACCCGCTCGGGAGCTGACCCGCACCGGGTCGGTCTCCACCTTCAGCGAGTTCGTGTTGGCAGGAGAATCTATAACACAGAAATGGACAGAGTCGGACGTTTGGGTTTCCTGGCTTGGGCAGCTACTCTGCTGATATGCTATTGTTCACTCAGGTGAGGATACTAGGGTGAGGCCATCTGAGTTCCTTTCGAGTATGACAGGGTGAAGGTATCGGGTGACAAGCCGGGTGTCCGGCAGGTGGCTACGTACCTGGATAGAGGTCTGCCTGATCACACTGTCATTTAGGAACACAACTTTTCAACTCTCATTTGGCTTGGTGTTGTCTGTTCTGTTAGATCCTTGTGTTGAAATGACAAGTATTAAATATGTGAAACACATAGGGGCACCTGGGTAGCTCAGTTGGTTGGGCATCCGACTCCTCGTTTTGGCTCAGGTCATGATCTTGTCAGTGAGATTGAGCCCCGCCTCGGGCTCTGTGCCGACATTGTGGAGCCCGCTTGGGATTTTCTCTCTGACTGTACCCCAACCCCCCCCCCACCTCTCAAAAGAAATAAATAAACATTAAAAAAAAATACATGAAACATGCATCTCGTGTCTTCCATGGAGCCTATACAATGAGCAATTGTGAGATTCTTTTTAATTTAAAAAACTCCACTTTAACTTCTCATTAGCAGCTGAGTTTGCTTCCCTAAGGAAGCCTATCCCAAGTACTCAAAAAAGGCTGACTTCTTTGGTGGCTGATGCAAAGGTTGTGGCATGGGAACAGGTGATAGCAACATATTCATTAAGGCAGTGATGTGGGGGGTTTACTCTTTATCTGTTTATTCTCATTTAAAATATATTAAATTTTAACACAGCAGAAGCAGGAATTGTACATGGCAGTCTAAAAATTAAAAAACACACACACACACACACAAAGCAGAAAACAAACAGCAAACAAAACTCCATAGAAAACAAAAATTGACATGAACTAATAATATATTAAAATTCATTTAGGTAAAGGTCTGAAAAATGTCACATGTGCACACCTCTTACCGAAGATTTTTTTTTTCTTCAGTGCGCTACAGTTTGAGAATCTCCAAGCTGAATCAACTTTCTTCAACCGTGAGATTCTTAATGAGGCAAATGGGTGTGGTCTGTTTCTTGTCTCCTCCTCCCGCCCCCCAGGAAACAATGGACCTCCAGTTCCACGGGGGCATATGCAGCTGACTGTGGGTGTAGGAAAGTTGGTGACTGTCTTTCGAAGTTGCTGGAGTCTCAGATATAGTCACTTTGCACGAAACAAGTCAGGTCTGACCAGAAATCAGAATTGTTCAAACGACTCACAGCTACCAAGCTCCCTACTTTAGAGATGTTGCCTTTCAGTGCTGTGACTCTACAAAGATATAACCCAGCTGTACACCCGCTCAGAGAGAGCGCGGGGCCAATCCTCCTGAGGCCTCCTCGGAGCGGAAGCCAGGAGGGTTTGGGGCGGGAGGGTAGCTGGCCCACGAGCCTGTGTCAGGGGCAGGGCGGGTCTCCCTGTGCCCCCAAAGAGAGCCTGCCACGCACTGCTAGCAGGCACGGGTCCTTGGGATGGTCCGATCAGCTTCCGCTAAATGCCCAGGCTGAGTGTTCTGGTGCTCCTGGGCTCGTTGCGGGAGACACTGGGAGTGCCAACAAGAAACGATTCATGGGACAAAAAGGAGAATTAATGAATCGTGAAAACATGTGCTTATTATTATTATTTTTTTAAAGATTCACACTTTCCTGAGTAAAGTACACAAAAATCCCACATGAAGTCTTTTTAAAGCACCAGGCCTCTACCTCTTAGACTCACTGCACCCAGATGGCAAATCTGGGCCAAGCTCAGATGTTCTGGTGAGAATATTAACAGTGTATTGGGAATGCTGTTTTTCTTCATATTTTACCACTTGAGAGTTTCATGCTTGAAAAATGGGAAATGGTGAAGGAGAAAGCTGAAATGTGTATGCGTGGGCTTCTTTGGTCTGTTCGTTGCACCGCATGGGAGCTGAAAGGACCCCGCAGACGATAAAGATGTTCCTAAACCACACGTGGGCCTCTGCGTCCTTGGCATTGGCTCAGCCGTCAAAACCCTCTGAACATCTCAACCACGACCACTTTAAAAGGTCCAAACTAAATATGGATATGACCATGGGGATATTAAAATCAAATTAACGTAGGCCAATCTTATTGCTGGGAGAACAGGTCCTGGTGGCCTGGCCGGTTCAGGCAGTGTGTTTATCCTCTGGCTTCTTGGCCTGAGAGAGAATCTTCTTCAGTGAGGTCCTGGGAATTCCTGAACATGAGGATAGAATTGTAAATTTTCAGTGCTGGACCCAGCTTGATCTTCATCACCTTGACGATGTCTGTCTGTGTCAGAAGCAGGAAGGCTTTGCCATCGATCTGCTGCAAGTAAAGAAACATCGTTTACCCTCTAGGAACTTTTGGGTGCTGAGCTGTGTGACACCGAACGGTTTTGGCCTCCCTGCAGAGCTCTCCAACGGCAGAGAAAGACGGCACCCTCTCCCACGGGGTCCCAACGTCTGCCCCGCTCTGTGCTATTGCCCGAAACTCTGTTGAATACGAATTCAAGATACACTCACGGTTGCCAGGTTAAATTTCTACTGTTATGTTTCAAAAATCTTGTCCTGAATTTATATAAAGAAACTTAAAAATAGCCTGCTTTCATTCACCAAGTAAATCTCCAGGAATTTTCCCCAAGAGAACCGAGTTGCAATGTGTACATTCTAGTGTTATTTATTGGAAACAACCCAGCATTTCAAAAATGGCAGAAGCACATAAATTCTGGTATCGCCTCGGCTGGGGGACCAGGCAGCCACCGAAATTCACGTCTCAATGAAATACTTAATGATTGAGCAAAGTTTTCATCCATGGTTAAGTGACAAAGCATGACATGATGACATAGAAAGATCTTAGCTTTAACCCGTAAAATTAAACATGCACGACCACATGTATACACATACACAATGAAGATATCTGAAGTCTTGGGGCGCCTGGGTGGCGCAGTCAGTTAAGCGTCCGACTTCAGCCAGGTCACGATCTTGCGGTCCGTGAGTTCGAGCCCCGCGTCGGGCTCTGGGCTGATGGCTCAGAGCCTGGAGCCTGTTTCCGATTCTGTGTCTCCCTCTCTCTCTGCCCCTCCCCCGTTCATGCTCTGTCTCTCTCTGTCCCAAAAATAAATAAACGTTGAAAAAAAAAATTAAAAAAAAAAAAAAGAAAATATCTGAAGTCTTTATGCCACACGTTAAGCAAAGTTAGATTTTTCTGGTGGAATAGTGGTTTGATTTTTGCTTTCTCCTTTGAACTTTCCTGCATTAAATTTTTTTTTATAATAAATGCTATAAGCAGAAATACATACAAAATAAATGTTTTATTTATTAACTTTTAAGACGTCGTGGTCTGACATGTAACAGCTTTCCCAAGATTCATAGGATGGTGAGTGACCCCCATGCAGGCTTTTCCCACAGCAGACTGGGATCTGCTCTCAGAGTTGGAGTCGAAGGGACTGTGGGCGTGTCTGGCACCCACATCAGCTGTTTACAGAAACTGGCGCAGAAAGGTTGCTGGTTCTAGACCCAAGAAGACAGAATGAAAGGTTTTTCTACGGTAACACCCTTCCCTGAACCTAGCACTGTGGTTCTAACCCTTTTTAATTAACGGTACAAACTCGCAGTGTCAATGTCTCACTGAGGAAGTAGGGATTCCCCCAGGGACCCCGGTTTTGAAATCCAAGTTTAAAATGTAAGTGACAGGCTAAAGTTTTAAAGTTTTAAGGAAGTGTTAAAAGGCTTCCTGTGCATTTATGATAACGTCTGTTGAAGAATCATCCATTTAGAGAACAGAATACCTGGATCACTTTGCTAGGCACTGAAACACACTAATCCTAATCTTTAAAGGTCTCCTCGAGGAAGTCTGTGTTTTACAGAAGAGGGATGAGACAGGTTAAGTGATCTGCCCATCGAGGGACGGCTGGTCATAAAAGCCAGGTGGGAGCAATTTGACCTGCAACTTGACCTGTGGACAAGGTGGGTCCTTGGCATTGCTTAATGCAGGGATCGACCCCTATGTGCAAGGCCAGCCCAACCACACCCGAGACCTGCTGGTCGAATCTCACGTTTCCACTGGCAGCTACCCACACTGCTACCATACTGCCCTCTACCATGATGCACAGTTACTGGGGAGGCCCGGCTCAGGGGGGTCCAGGACCAAGAGTATTTTCCCTGATCCATTCATGCCCTGACCTCTACAGAGGGGGAGGATGTGCTACAAACTGGAGTCTCTAGAAGTGTGGTTTTCTTGGAGACTTCTGGAGCCATGATGGCAGCTCTGGAATCACCCAGATAGAGGCCGGGATCTGACTGCCCTTTTCTTGCTGTGCCTCAGCTTCTTCATAGGTTCTTGTGAGGACCCAAGAACAGCGGTTGTAAAGTGCTTAGCACAGGGTCCAGCATAGGGCAAGCCCGCGATAAACAATAACCACCATATCTGCACTATTATTCTGTAGCTGGTCTCTTCTGGGGTCCCTAGAGCTATGGCTACTAATTCCAGGAGAAACATTAAGCAGTTTGGTACATTCCCAACCACCAGGGGGGTAGGAAGCAGAAGCCCCATGGAAGGATTTTGTGGCCTCTCTGCATTCTTCTTGGAGCAGGTGCAGAGCGGGGATGTACAGGAAGTTCCCACTCTCACCTCGGAGTAGACAAATCCTCTCCCCTCCCTGGGAGGGGGTTCATGGCGGGAATCCTTCCTCCTCAGTGGGACCTAAAGTTATCATGGTAGGGCCTTCACAACGCATGTAAGGATTAAGTAATTGACATGTTCATTTATTCTTCCAGCAAACTGTCTACTTCTTGAGCACACTGTACGGGCCAAGCACCATAGCATTCTGCGCCAAAGCCCAGCTGAACGTAAGCAGGTCAAAGGGCCTGGGCCTGATGGCACCACTGGGCTCCTCCCTGCCCGGACCCCTTTATCTTGCCTACCCAGCCTGTTCTTATTTGCACATATGTAGATGAAAACAAAGCACTTCTGGGTCCAGAAGTATGGAAATACATACAATTTTTGCATTTCTTACCTCTTTCTTGAAGCACTTGGCGTGTTCTTCACAGCCCAGAAGAGACTGTACAAACTCAGCCACCTACAGTGCAAGATGAAAAGCCTGACTTAAAACATGCACCTGAAATAATTTCTTGGGTTGTAGTAATTCCATGTTTGAGTAAAATAGACTTCAAATCCCTCAAACGCTCAGGATTTAAATAGTAACTATCAAGTCACATTAGCATTTGCCAGCTCAGAAGTTAGACCAGCCCCCGCCAGTATCTCTTCTAGCCTCTTATTTCCAGGCTGACCTACATCGGGTTATAGTTACAATGACAATGACAGCCTCCTTTTGTGCAGCGCTGGCATTCTGGAACCTGCTCTCCTCTGATCCTCCTGTCCTGTCAGGGAAGGCAGGAGGGAGTGGCCTTGTGTGTAGCAGTCTTTGCAGTGACTGTCAAGGATGAGGACCTGCCCATCTGGCCCTTGGGCAGCCCTGAGGCCCCATCTATCTGAGTGTTACCTGTGCCCAGACAGCAACAGGGACTCAAGGGATCTATGCTGAGTGAGTTCCCTCATCAGGGACAATGAGGCTGAAGCCCGAGGAAGTTGAATGACTTACTGGAGGTCACACATGGCGGGGAAGTACCCCGGACATTTTGGAAATCAGGTTTTTGGACTCCAGACCAAATCACTCTCTTCAACTTCATTTCCCACTCTTTTCCCCTCCCTCCCCAGCTACATATGCCCCCAGCTCCTTTTAATTAGAGAAACCCTTGGCTATAAGCACAGGAAGCTACTGAGTTTTCCCAGTTGGTGCTTTCAGGGAGCTGAGCCACCAAACATAATAAAGTGTAGACTCTCAATGACCAAAATGGCAAGAGGATTCTGGCCACCCTGGCAAGGTCTGGCATGGTTGCAGCACAGGGTGAAAGTCATGCCAGAAGGCAATAGTAATGAAACCTGGGAGGTAATGTGTATAAGAGGAATGGCCTTGCTTTCTGTTTTTAATTTTTGGCAGTCTTGTGCTGACTGAATTGTGTGCATTTGACACTTCTCTCCCCGTCTGATGGAAAAGGCCCACAAGAAGACGGGAGCTCAGGGCCTTGTATCAACACAGTCTATAACCCACAAGCCCTAGGAGTCCCCAGCCCCCTGCAGGGAGATGACAGTGACACTGACCCTCCCCATACTTTGCAGAAGAGAACATCGTGGCGTTGGCGATCTCCGGCTTACAGGGCAGCCAGGAACCAACACCCACAGGGCAAACCCAAGGCCTGACACCTGTATGCACACCCTCGACTCATGGCTATATTTAATCTAATGCGTAGATTTCAGAACATCTTTTTTGGGCCAATCAGCATGTTGGTGTCTACTTTACTCACCTCTGATGCCGCAAGTATGTTTTATCATGAGTCATTTATAGTCATCCTTCCAAAGTGCAGGATGATGAGAATTAAAACAACAACAAAAAAGATCTTCCCAAACCAGCCGGAACGCTGCCACACAATGGCATCCTCAAGCCCCAGAAGCACCTGGGAGGCATTCCGGTTCTGAGCTGCTTCACTGGAGCTCCCGGTGCTCCACTCAGCCAGGAAGCTGAGCTTCTCTGTTGAGTTAATATGATTTGCCCTTCTTAGGTGGATACAAAGCATGGAGCTGAGGAAAGCCCTGGAATGCTGCCGGTCCAGCTGCAGAGACACAGTCACTGGGGCAGGTGACAGCAGGGGCTCAGAGAGTTTGTAGGGCCTGGGACGCTGCGTGGCGGGCATAGGCCCCTTATTCCCTGGGCTGCTCTCTGGCCAAGTACGCCCCGACCTCAGCTACGCGTGAGGCCTCTGCTGGGTGCTGGAGGGCAGGACCAGTGAGCAGGTCCAGCGTGAACATCCAATGAGTTTTATGGTTCGATCAGAGGTGGGAGGATAGATGGAAAGTGGCAAGTAAGGTCGGCTTACTACTCACACTGATACATGCTCAAATGCGCTAAGTTCCAGAGGCGAGGTGGAAAGGCTATGGGTTCCTGGCAGGGACAGATGGCATCTCAGATGGGAACTCAGAAGAGGTGTGATGAGGGAGGTGGAAGCTGAGACAGGCACTGTTGGGTGGCAGTGTTTCTACCCCGGGGCGATTCGGGGTGGACAAGCAGAGAACACTTTCTCGGCACAGAGCCTCAGGGTCAAGGCCGAAAGCAAGAGGCACGGTGCACATGTTCTGAGCAGTGAGGAGTCCAGTTTGGCTAGAAATGCCGAGCAGAAGGGGAGACATGGGGACAGGGGTGGGTAGGGGTGAGGTGGCGGCCGTGTGGCTTCTGGTGTGGGTTTGCACTTCTACCTGCCAGCTGCAGGGAGCCCTGGAGTGGTGGTTCTCCATCGTGGCCACACCTCGGGATCATCCGGAGAGCTTCAAACACGAATGATGGCCAGCCTCAGGCCACACAGACTCCGAATTAGCCAAGCAGGGTGGGACCCAAGTGTGGGGCATACATTTTCAGATTCCCCGGCTGACTCTCATCTGCAGGTGGGGCTGAGGAACCCGGCGCAAGAGAAGGCTTGAGAGAGGATCTGGCAGTGTTGGATGGACTGGGCAGGACGTCAGCTGGGAGGCACTGAGGGACTGGGGGCTCCACACGGGGCAGAGCACAGGGTTGAGGCAGGTGGTACCCCATAGGAAGAATCCAGAGATCTGCCTGCAGGCTGGGCGTGGGGCAAAGGGAGTCGAAGCCGGGTCCAGGCAAAGTGTTGAAGAGTGGGTTTCTCCAGGCCAGCGCTACTGACTGATGGGGACTGACCATTCTTTGCTGTGGGGCCATCCTGTGTGTTGCAGTGTGTTTAGCAGCAAGCCTGGCCTCCACCTGCCGGGTGCCAGTTGCACCCCCACCCCCGCACTGTGACAACCAGAAATGCGTCCAGATGTGGCCCACATCTACCTGTTAAAAGCCACAGCTCTAGGGGCGCCTGGGTGGCTCAGTCAGTTAAGCCTCTGACTCTTAGTTTTGGCTCAGGTCATGATCTCACGGTTTGTGAATTCAAGCCCCGTGTCGGGCTCTGCACTGACAGTGCAGAGCCTGCTTGGGATTCTCTCTCTCTCCCTCTCTCTGCCCCTCCCGTGCTCTCTCTCTCTCTACCCCCCCATTGCAAAATCAATAAATAAATAAACTTAAAAAAACAAAACAAAACAAAGCCATGGCTCTAAAAGGAAGGTTTTCCTGAGATGGTTCTTCCACAGGGAAAGGGGCAGATTGTCAAGGCAGGAAAATTAAACATAAAGAAGCAGGAGTAGGAATTAGCAACAGATACACATTTTGTTGCATCTCAGTCACCAGCTCCCGTGGGAAAGCCCTGCCAGCAGTAGGGAGCCTGGGCTCTCCACAGACAGTGAAGTGCTTTGGGAGAGGATCTTTTTAAATTTTTTTTCTCAACGTTTATTTATTTTTTGGGACAGAGAGAGACAGAGCATGAACGGGGGAGGGGCAGAGAGAGAGGGAGACACAGAATCGGAAACAGGCTCCAGGCTCTGAGCCATCAGCCCAGAGCCTGACGCGGGGCTCGAACTCACGGACCGTGAGATCGTGACCTGGCTGAAGTCAGACGCTTAACCGACTGCGCCACCCAGGCGCCCCGCGAGAGGATCTTTTTAAAACACACGTTCCACAAACTTCTGTTCATGGCAGAAGTGTGTGTTGCTTTGTTGGTTTGCATCCGTTAAAATGTCCTTTGCTGGGAAAATGGGAAAAGAATCACATTCCCCCTCCTCAGCATTGTTAGCCAAGCAACAACTGTCCGTGTCAAAGGTAGACTGGATTTTTTTTTAACTTTTTTTTTTTTTTAATGTTTATTTATTTTTGAGAGAGACAGAGTGTGAGCAGGGGAGGGGGAGAGAGAGAGGGAGATATAAAATCCGAAGCAGGCTCTAGGCTCTGAGCTGTCAGCACAGAGTCCGACGTGGGGCTCAAACTCACAGACCGCGAGACCACGACCTGAGCTGAAGACAGACTCTTAACTGACTGAGCCACCCAGGCGCCCCTAGACTGGATTTTTTTTAACAGGAATAAATAACTTGTCAGGGCAAAGAGGAGCAAAGGGGAAGCCGAGTGGCCCTCAGCTGGGCCCCGTCACGTCCCCTCCCTGCACTACCTCCCTAGGGCCTCAGGAGGCAGGGTGGCCACAGCCCCACTGCCTCACCACGTGTCTGGAATCCTCTGCCTCTTTGGAAAGAGACTGTGATTCTATTCAATCTGTCCTTCTCCAAAGTCAAAAACCAGTTCCATGAAATCTACTGAGGCCGACTTCTCTGGCCAGAATTTAAAAATATCCAAAGGCCTTGATCATTATTCAGTGTCATTATTCAGTACTGTTAGTCAGTATTTATTCACTCTAAGAATAAATTATATTTTGAGCTTTAATAGAAAGCCCATTTTGCTACAAACTTTAAATGTAAAGTGGTGAGCTCTAACAAACCATAGAGTACTCTCAGAAAGTTTCCCTCACATGCTCCCCTTAAAAATATGTTTACCTATTGGGCAAACGTGAACTATTCAGATGAGCGTGAACTCCATGAAATAGGAAACTACCATCTGTTTGCCTGCATCCAAGATGGCTGTGTGGACGCGGGGCTGCTTTTCTAAGGTGAATGTGCTACTGTTGGAGCCTGGGGGCGGTCGCCCTCCGCCTTGGCCCCAAGAAGCCCACCTGGTGTGGAGGCTGACTGGCGCTTGGTTCCCCAAGGGACCTCATTCTCATTCCTCAAGGAACCTCATTCCTTGTTCTCAGGAGCGAGGCGTCCCTCAGCGAAAGCCCTGGCTTTGTTTTGGAAGGACAGGGAGGTGAGTTCTGCGGATGACACAGCAGTTGGGAAAGACTAAGAAAGATGACCCTGTGCCAGCTCTCAGATGAGCCCATTACTTTCCCCAACTTACTTCCCCCGGCGACCTACTTTCACTGGCATCCTCTTGGAGCTCAGCAGGCCTGTTTCCTTCAGTGGGGCTGCTGCTCCCTTAAATCTTTCCAAACGGTGGTGTTCTCTATCTTGCTGAGCCTGTAGCTGTGTGCCTGACTGCACTGGCTCCAAGTCCACTGGGGACCATGCTTCCAGCCCGGGTCT